GGTAGGGTAGGGTAGGGTAAGGTAAGGTAAGGTAGGGTAAGGTAAGGTAAGGTAAGGTAAGGTAAGGTAAGGTAAGGTAAGGTAAGGTAAGGTAAGTAAGTGCGTGCGCAGCTAGTTAGGTAGGAGGGTACGTAGGTAGGTATAAGTTTTGGGACAGCATGATATAAACGCCTGGAGCGACACAACAAGCACTACTACCATCACGAATCGCACTCCCCAGTTGATATCTCAGCTTGACCAAACCATATAGCAAGAGGAACCAAAAGCTTTTTAAGATCCTGTTTCAAGACCCCAACGCTCTCGGGGCGCTCTCTTCTAAATGCGTTCATGTGACAAGAACCCAGAATACCCCGAAGCACATCCCAGATAGTGATCGCACAGCGCGCCCTGAAGCATCTTGAAATCAAGACCGGCCCAAACCCCTAAAGCCTGAAACCTCGTTGCCGAGTAGCCCTTGCTCCTGCTGCCCGACCCCGAAACTGCACCATTACTGACGCCGAAGCACTGCAGTCGCACCAGGAACGCCATCCCCGGAGTTCCACCGCATAGCGCTGCAAAGCCAGGATGCAGTCCTGGGCTTTTGTGGCTTGGGGGGCTCATTCCTACTAAGGCAGGACGTCCAGGATCGTGTCTTCGAAGGTTGGAAGGACCTGGGGTGTCTTGAGCTGCTGAGGTGTCCAGGTAACATACTACACGAGGACTTCAGCCTTCCATGTTGCCTGCTTTGGCCAGGCCAAGTGACTATTGCTAGTAAAGCTTTGGGATTTCAGCGATGTGGATATCAAGTGCGGTGCTGAAATATGGCACAGGAGGTAAAGGTTTTTGGTGTCGGCCTGTTTTGGTCTAGGCCCGAGGCGTACTTGCTGTACCTCCACAAGAACGAGGCCCATGCATCTTCTCATGGAACCCTGAACAAAAAACCCTGAATCCTAAACTCGAAATCCTACCCTAAAGCCCTACATCCGACACCCTACACCCAAAAACTAAACCCTTGATCCTAAATTCCTAACTCCTGACGCCCGAATCCCAAACTCAAAGCTCTGAATCTCCACCCCCTGTATCCCAAAGCCCTATAAAAAATGGCAAAACCCAAAAGAACACAGCATCCTGTAATAAAGAAACCTCCAGCCTCAGAACCCAAAAATCTCCAAACCTCACGCCAAATCCGAGCCATGAAGCCCCCACAAGACCCATGAAAAGACTGGAGCCAAAAGCAGTTTAAACACGAAGCCATCACCCTGAAGGCAGCAAGCCCTGTAAGACTCCTCTCTAGGATTTGTGGTGTCCTATGCTGTCTCCTAGAATTTGGAGTCTTCAAAGGTTTGGGCTGCCGTATGTATAAGAAGCTTGACTCTGCAGAATTGTCGCCAGTGTCTGGTGGCAAGCCCTCTGCTACCAGAAGCACAGCTGGTCGTTCAGGGCCTACGGCCTATGGCTCTCATCCAAGCATCCTCAAACGACTCGCTCCAGCAATGACTGACGAAGGCCTGTCTGTCTTGGTGGTCTTTTGTAGAGAACAAGTACTAGCCATCATCTTCATCAGCAAAGTTGGCATCAACACGAAACTGTGGGTGATGCCTGCACGAACCGCAACCCTCAAAGGAATCAGCGATTGCTGGTATTCCTTTTCCGACCCAGGTCATCAGTAGCTACCACTACCGAGGTTCCTGCGGCTCCCTGTTATTTCGACTGGCACTACTGTTGCGCAGCGATGCAACACTAATTACCCATCCCCATCTCCCTTAATTATATTGTAGTAGCCTTACAATAAGGAACTTTTTGGAATTGTAGGAACCCTTGGGGATGGTAGGAACCCTTAGGGATGCTAGCCCTTAGGGATGCTATCAAGATGCCAGCTGGTCCCTTTGTGTCTGGATCCTCCAGAAAGGACTGAAGCCTCCGCGAGCTTCTGCTAAGGCACGGTCCAGTTCTTGCAGCATCGGGGCGACTTGTAGTGGGATGTCGAAGTTTAACTAACATAGAAGCTGAAATGCCAATGCCAGTCTTTGGGATCTCCTCGCTTAACTTACAACATCTTATAACTTATAACTAGAGTATCAAATAACCCCACATACCGGTCCTTTGTACAAGGGTGCGGTACTATTGTGGGGACCTAAAAAGGGACCCAAATCTACCCACAGGCGTGCTTCAGGCAAGTAAGCACCCATCACCTTTTGTTTGAACCCGGACTTGCTGAATGCCAGGACCCATCACCAAACCCTTTTGAAACCGGACTTGACGACCGCCAGCATTGCCTCCTCTGCCGTTCTTCACCTGAGCCCTAAACCCTACATCCCTAAACCCTAAAACCGAAAACCCTAAACTCCATCACCTAAACCCTAAACCCCATCACCCAAACCACCCTAAACCCTAAGCCCCAAAGCCTAAACCCCAAACCCCATCACCTCGGGAGGCGATGGCGGAAGCAGCTCCGCGAAAACCCGGCGCTCAGGACACAAAGGCTCCAGTACCTTCCGGGCCAACTATGACCCAATCGCTCAGCAGACTCGGTAGAGATACACACTGCTACCACATCCAACAACCCCAACGGCGTTTGGCTTGGCTCATTACCCCCTTCCGCTCGCAGTGATTTTGGCGATGTGCATGCCCTTCTCTTGTGTGCGAGTGCACACCTTGGAGACTAACCGGCACTAGCCTGTGCTGTAGTTTCTGGGTGAAAGCTGCAGGAAAGCTCACAGCTAGTCTGTCCTGCTTGCTCTCACTATTCTTCGTTTCTTCGTGTCTTTTGCTTTCAGAGGCCAAACAAGACCCCAAGTTGATGCACATAATGCAAGTGCTTGCAGCTAGCAAAACAAATCACCCTGCGAGATCAAACTCTACTAGGGCTCGCAAAGAAAAACAAGCTCTCGCAATTCCATCCTCTCTCACGACTCTCACAGGGTAGACAAGGCTCCACACAATCCAAGAACAGAGCTGGAAACAGCAACTTGGAGCAGGACAGCAGGCTGCGGAGAGGTTTAGGATCAGGGATAATGCTCCAGAGGTGGATGCAAAGATATACACAGATAGCCCCACCTCCTGGCGAAAGCGTCCCGAGCAGGGCCGCACGCAGCACTTCAGAGCCGGTTGGTAGGCGGGGGTCTCAAGCCAGCTCCTGCATAAGGCCCGTCTTTGCACTGGCTCCGCTAGTCGAAGAAGCTAAACTCCCACTTGGATCCTAGAGACCCAAAGCACTTAGCACCCTTCGCAATCTACTGTAATAGCTGAACCTGCTAGTGGAACTCTAGACTCTGGACCCTGATAGTCAAACACACTCCACAGCCAGAACCTTCCCAACGAATCATCGCCATCATCAACATCATCACCATCCCTATCGACATCCTCATCGCCAGAGTCGCCGACGGCGTCATCAATAGCCACCAGCATTGGAGCCAACTGGCTACTGAGCAGCGGAATAAAGGAGGCTTGATACGAGAGTACAGGTGTATAGTATCTAGTAACCTAGCATGCAAGATCCAATATAAGATGAGCTCCTCTTCAGCTCCAGCAGCTCCCGAAGATGTCCTCGAGAGAGCTTCGTTGGTTTCCAGCACTCACAACTCGGACAAGCCTGGCGAGGTTCCTAGTTCGGGCGACAGCACATTGGCCAGAGTCTCCGATATCGGAATGAAGGCGGGGATCTTGCAGCAAACATGACTCCCAAGCTCAGGCAGGGCAAGGAACACGGAATGAAGCCATAAGCACTGGCACAAGCACGGTCTCATGCAGAAAACGGTCGCATCCTGGCAGGCCTGCCAAACTGTACGGACTTGGATTGGTATGCGCGCAATGACGAGGCTGACATGAAACCCACCGACACTTCTAGTCACGAAGACCACTGATACTGGTAGCGTGTCAGTGCAGCTGAAGATACATATGTATGTGGGAACAGGATCTATATGTGTACATACTCACGTGTGTATTCTACGAAAGATTGTATGTGTATTGCGTTGGCATCTGCTCAAAAGTCTGTTGAGGACAGGAGGTGCTAATTAGAAAATTGCAACCTCACAGTTTAGGACTTCGGTGCGAACACACAGGCACGCGCTTTTTGTCGGCTCTCTTGCAACTGACGGGACCAATCATGCGCCATCAGCTGCCACTAACAGGCGCGAGCCCTGAGGCGCGCGCACACACACTTCCTCAAACGAAGCGATGTGCACGAAAACGTTATGAATGCCCCTGAAACTTTCCAGCATGCTTTCTCAAAAGGAGTACACTTGCAAAGCTACGTGTCAAAACCGATTCACATGCCAATGCCGGAACCCGGGGACATGTTGGCCTATACCGTCGACTTAGACGACGATCTGCTCAGCATCCTTCGCCTTGCAATTGTCGCCGCC